GGTAGGCTGGTATATAAAAGAGGGTGACAACGTGACGAGATAACGTAATGCGTGTGAGTAGATAGTGAGTAATTGAACTGCAGTCATAGGGTTCGTTCGCTCGTTCGTTATAGTGTTTGTTTTAGCGCGAATATTGAAACTAAGTGTATCGTAAAGTTATATTCGGAAAGAATAAACCAGTTTTATTAAGTTAAGACTTGTGTCGTTAAAGTTTCGTCGGAACGAAGTAACGGAAAAATCAATTAACAAACGGAGACGTAACAATGTATAAATAGCGTTTCCGATAATCTTTTGTCTCTCGTCGCCCAGTCCAACTGACAAGTTCTGATATTGAAAGAAAGGCCTTTTTGGCAGTGATTTGTGAGAGACAATAGATAAACCTGAAACGCTGTTTTTACACACCTTTGATTTTGAATCCGAAATGGACAAATTTAAAGGAATGTGGAAAGAAAAATATCTATAGTTTATTTGACTTTATAACAAATTTTAGGCCTACCGGTTTTTTAATATATTGCTAGCTTTCGGCACTTAGATCGTGACTTTTAAAATCTATATTGTTATAAAACAGCACACAGGTTTTCTTCCATTTACAAACATCGTACTACAGGTTCTCTCAAATATAGTGTGTATTGTAATAAATCAACACAAATGTTATTCATCCGAGAAAACGCCGTTCATCAATCTGATCAGTGTTATAATGTGAACATAAAGTTTTAGCAAGACGAAAGTTGAAAGTTACTTTTATTGTAAAACACTTATGATGTGTGTGTAATTGACATCGAATAAGAGTAAATATTGGGAACTGACATCAGGCAGAGACATAGATGTGAAAATAGGCTAGCTTCCAACAGTTTCACAGTCTATGACCAGGAAATTCCTGTGTATCATTTAGCAGTCACTATTTCAGAGGCGGAACTCCCAGTGACAACAAGGAGGGTGGTAATTTTGCTATCAAAAATTGAAATACTCATACTAGAAGCTCTTAGGAATATATTTACATCTAGTGACTGGGGTGTAGTGGAATCAAACACTTCGGCATGTCCTAAGGGACTGATGGTTGAAAGAACCCGTGTAGATCTGAAGAAAAAAGATGTCATACATGAATTTAGCCGGGAAAAACTTAAATAAACTTGTCACTATGATGTTAATGCTAATAAGACCGTATTTCACTGAGGTGATATGGTGTGGTTGAAAAAGAAGTGATGAACTCC